AAGAAGAAAGGTGCGTGAAACTCCTCTTCGCAGCACCAATTTGGTGCAAGCAAAAAATGTGATCCAAGTTACCGCTAGCCTACTATCTACTACTAGTAGAGTCTAGGGTCGGTAACTCAATGAAGAATGGGTATAGAAACTGGTCGCCCTCTGTTGTGTAGCAAATCCTGTTAAGGTAAATTTTCAAAATGAGTTTGGTTGTTGGTGCTGCACGAAGTAATTAGAAATCTTTAAAACTTCTCAGATTGTGAGCATAGTGAGTTGTTGGTATTGTTTCACTTTATTTAAGTTTTTATTCGGTTTCATCCAGAAATAGTTGTAAATATCGATAGATGTAGATTACGGGATATCCTACAGATTCTAACTGACTTTCTCTAGAAATACAGATGAATCGCGTTGACCCTTTGTTTCTTGTGCTATTCAGCAGCTACAGTTAGAAGAGAACGTGCGCATAAAACAAGAGCTTTGTCTCTCAGGCGCGGGATTTTGAGCTCAAGAAATGTTCACTTTTTTCCTGAACGTAGTATGATAAGTAAAAGAAATTGTACTGTTTCCATTACAAGTATGCTTTTACTGATTGATCAGACACTGACAAGGTTTGGTCACCAATCACACTCACTCTCTCTTTGCCTCTCTCTCTCTCTCTCTCTCTCTCTCTCTCTCTCTCTCTCTCTCTCTCTAAATGGAGTACGTGCTTTGACTGACATTGTAAACGACCAAGACAATTTTCTCCCTTTGAGATGAATAAAGAATGACATTGTCATTGTTAAACTGTGTCATTGGCGCAATATGGAGCAATTAATATTTTCTCCTTTCACTTTGAGGACTTTCATTTGCGTTTTAAAGACTGTTTCACTGTATGGGTGGTGACATGTCACATCATTGCCTAACTCCTTTTTTGATATGATTATATTATTATTCCCTGTACTCTGTCTCAATTTTTACAGTAACGTTTTGGTCCCAGTACAACTTTCATGGCAAGACATATTCCTTCATTTTTTTTTATACAGGGCTTGAAATAAAGAACTTTCTTTGCAAATTAACTGTTTGAATTGTTTTTAGTGCCACGTTGTTCATTCCAATGTGCTTCATTCATGGACTTGTCTTATATTGTCCAAGACGCTTCACTCTGACGTAATTCTGGTTCACCATGGAGTGGATCATTTGACTCTATTTGAAACTAGATGAAGCGTAAAGGGGGAAAGGTTGCCCGTGCGGTCAACAATAGCGAGACTGACATTTTGTCCTTTATTTGCTCGCCTATGGTGTGGAGCACACCAGTGCTGCGAAGTCTTCATAGAGAGCCAAGAGCGGCTGCCATGACAGTGTCCGATCTAGGGTAGTATAATTCAAGTCTATGGCTTCCTTTCCTTTCTTCTTTTGCCTAACAATGCGCCAGGTGTGATTCCTTTTGGCTGCAAATATAGATTTAAAAATTCGTGTGAATAGCTTACCAGAGACCAGCTTTTCATGAGCGTTTTCAGCTCACTGTTAACTGAATAAACGCGGTTCAATCGCGAAGGTAGTCCATCCGATTTGTATATTCAAGCATAGGTTTAGAGTATATCAGACTTTTTTCTCTCCGACAAATGTCAAAAGAGACGCCGCACACCTGTGGCGCTCTTCTCTGCACTTTGTTGCACTGGTGAGAGTCGAGGGGTTATATGGAAAACAACGTGTGTTGGACGAGGGTCGCGAGTTATTTGGGGTGCACTTTTGTATTATAATACCCATTCATAATTTTCTTTCATCCCGCCACCTCCCCCCCCCCCTTCTTCCACACCCACGTTTACATCTCATGTATTCATCAATGCATCTTAACATGTTTCCAGTACACTAATTGTTTCCAGCTTCACGAACTCGTGAAAATTTAGTAAAAGGAGTTCAAATCCGAACAAAGCCATAACGGTCAATGTGTTTTTCGTCGTGAACATTTTCTCTCAAGTCATAGAGTCATATCATAGATTTAGAAAAATGGTCACCTTCGAAATAAGCTATTACTTACTTTACTTTTACTTTTTCCTTCCTCTGGTATCCTTAGGATGTCGAGGGGAGGTGCAGGTTTCGGTCCTGTGCTTGGTGTGTAGCGTCTGTGATAGATATGCTATGTTGTTCCAGGGCCTTTTTAACCCCATCCAGCTAGGCCTTTCTTTGTCTCCCTCTTGATTTGAAGCCGGATTCTCGGGTGTTGAAGCTCTAGTCGCTTGTTGTTTCTGGGGAATTCTGGTTAGATGTAGTATCCATTTGACTCTTTGACGCTCTATGCATTTTATTACCGGTGGTATTCCGGTTTTTAGACGTATCGTTTTGTTTCTTATGCGGTCTCTTCTGGTGACGTCAGGCCTTTCGAGAGGGGGGGTCAGGGGGGGCCAATGCCCCGGGGCCCG